TGATAATCTGGAAAAGGCTCAAGAATTCTTTGACCAGCACTTTACAATGGAAGAGGAACAGGAGACAAGGAGAGAAGCGGAACCCGGGACATGGCGGATGGAGAAGGAAGAAAAAGATCAGGAAGAGGCAAAAAGATTGGAGAGAGAAAGAATGGAGAGAGAGGGAGCGAGGGAAAAGACTCAAAGAGTTATCAGAAACACAACAAAGTTGAAAATCACAAATAGATAAACTCGATAGAGATGGAAGGAGAAATAAAAATTATATCAATTAATATAAAGGGACTCAACTCCCCAAGGAAAAGGAAATATATATTTACGAAATTGCAAAAATTGGACTTAGATGTGATAACTTTACAAGAAGTACACATTAAAAGACAGCAACAAATATTGTTGGAGAATCAAAAATTAGGAAAATTATTCACATCCCTAGGAGATAATAAGAAGAGAGGAGTGGCAATTTATGTCAAAAACCATTTAAAAGCTAAACAGATATATACAGATTCGGAAGGACGTATTTTAATAACTGAACTACAAACAGAAACAAGGAAAATATTGCTAGCTTCTATCTATGCACCTAATGGAAACCAGAGAGAATTTTACAAGAAACTACATGATACAATTAAAGATTTGGAGTACGAAAATATCTGTGTTGTCGGAGACTTCAACGCAATCGTGAATATACAAGATGACTATCGAAGTAATAAACAAAGTAAGACTCGAAAAAGAATCTTACCGGATACATTTAAGGATATGACTGAAGAATTGCAATTACATGATGGATGGAGAGAGGCCAACAAACAAACCAATATACCTTCTACTCAAACCCACACCAGTCATGGTCTCGGATTGACATGGCCTGGATGACGCCAGACCTCAGGAAGGATCTACAAGACATCGAAATTATACCGAATACATGGGCCGACCATAATCCTATAAAAATAACATGGAGAGGACAGCGAAAGCAGAAGAGGTGGATGATGGACACCGGAATAATAAAAGATAGAGATTATGTGCAGATGATGGAGAACGAACTTAGAATATTTTATCAAATAAACACAAAGGAGCAGACTTCAGTACAGAATCTGTGGGACACTACTAAGGCCTATATAAGAGGCCTCACAATAGCATACACAGCAAAAAAAAATAAAGATAAACAACAAAAGAGGAAAAAATTAATGGAAGAACTCAACATATATGAGTCACAATTACAGAAACAGCCTGACGACAAAACAACAAGGGAAAAATTGAATCGTACTAAACATGAGTTGAACTTAATTTCACAAGCAGAAATCGCACAGAAAATGAAAATGGTCAAGCAGAAATACTTTGAATATGCAAACAAAACAGGTCGCTGGCTGGCATACAGACTGAAGAAAGAGAGGGAAAAAAGAATAATATACCAATTGCAGGATGAAACAGGACAACTATATAGTATGAATTTAGATAAAAAACGTATAGTAAGGGAATTCTATCAAAACCTCTACACACAAGAAGAAACTCAAGACCAAGATATTATGGAATACCTACAAAAAGCAAATATCCAGAAATTAGAAGAATCCCACAGAGAAATACTGAATAAACCAATAACAATGATGGAGTTGATGGAAGCCCGAAAGAAACAGAAGAACAACAAAGTCCCAGGTCCGGATGGAATTCCAACGGAATTTTATAAAAACTGCCAGTCTGCAATAGATGAACTACTACTACAAGTTCTCAATGAGGCACTGCTGGAAGCAGAAACACCTAAATCTTGGGCCGAAACAATTATCTCACTCATCCCCAAAGAAGATACGGATCCGACTAAAGTCCAAAATTATAGACCCATCTCGCTGTTAAATGTAGATTATAAACTATTCACGACAATTATAGCACAGAGGCTGAAAACGATTATACATAATTATATACACCCCGACCAAAATGGTTTTGTCCCAAGGAGACAAATAAAAAACAACATGAGGACAATAATAAACGTTCTTGAATACTACGAGCAAAACATCAATAATCAGATAGCGCTAATCTTTCTCGACGCGCAAAAGGCGTTCGACAATTTGAACTGGAAATTCCTTATAGCACAACTGCAGATTATGAATTTCGGCGACAAATTCCTGAAAATGATTAAGAAAATATATTCTTCCCAGACAGCGAGAATTATAATTAATGGAGATATGACCGAAAAAATAAGCATCCAAAAGGGGGTAAGACAAGGATGCCCGATATCGCCTCTACTGTTTATAATCTCACTGGAAGTCCTTCTAAAGGAAGTAAGAAAGGAAGAAGAAATAAAAGGACTGAAGATAAGGAATGAGGAGTATAAACTACAGGCTTTTGTGGATGATGTGGTCTTCATAGTGGAACAACCGGAAGTAGCGGGAGTCAAATTATTAGAGAAGATAGAGGAGTATGGCAAAGTGGCGGGGTTTAAGATCAATAAACAAAAAACCAAAGTCTTGACCAAAAATATGACAATGACACAAGAGGAAAAATTAGAAGAAGAATTAGGAATGCAAATTGCGAAGAAAGTAAAATATTTGGGAATTTGGCTTACTACAAAAGCAACAACTATTAGAGAGGACAATTACATTAAATTGATGAAGCAAATTAGAAAAGACCTGGAAAGATGGAATAAGGTACAACTATCATTTCTTGGCAGAATAGCGTCTGTAAAGATGAACATATTACCAAGACTCCTATATCTCTTCCAAGTGATACCAATTGGTCCGGGAAAAGATTTCTTTAAGGATCTCAACAAGACAATAATGAAATACATCTGGCAAGGAAAGAAAGCTAGAATTAAAATAAGATGCTTACAGGACACAAAGGAGAAGGGAGGCCTAGGTCTACCAGACTGGGAGCTATATTACAAGGCGGCGGCGTTGAATTGGATCAGAGAATGGATAGATCTATCAAATAGGAGAACGCTATACTTGGAGGGATTTGATCTGAGTCGAGGTTGGCATGCCTTTCTGTGGGAAGGCACAGACAAGCGACATCCGTACTTCCAGAGACATGTAATAAGAGGTGCACTATATAAAACATGGCAAGATATCAGAAGGCAACACTATAGTAAAATCCCACGATGGTTGTCGCCTATGGAGGCGCTAATTTATCCAAACACTATAGAAATAGGAAAGATGCGGAAATATCAAGAATTGTTGAGTAGTGAGGGAGACCTACTTACGAGACAAGAACTGGAAAGACGAGGCATTATGATTGATTGGTGGCCATATCTTCAAATTGAGTCAAAATATACAGCAGACCGGAGACATTATGATTTTCAAAGCCAACCAAGTGAACTAGATAAAATTTTAAAAGGCACAGATGAGAAAATAATATCTAAAATTTATGGATATTTAATAAGGTATAAATTAGAGGAGGAAACAGTGAAAGAAAACATGGTAAGCTGGGCAAGAAATATAGGTCACAATATAGAGTTGGATAGATGGGACAAGCTATGGGCAGAAAATTATAAGATGACACTGTCAATTCCATACAAAGAAAATTTATACAAGATATTTTATAGATGGCACCTTCCTCCGGCACGTTTGGCTAAAATGTTTCCAAACACATCACCAATGTGTTGGAAGTGCAAGACACAAATGGGGACATATTACCATCTCTGGTGGTCTTGCAGGAAGGCACAACGCTACTGGCAAGAGATTAAGAGAATAATCGAAGAAACAACGAGGCAAAGTGTAGAAATGAAACCAGAATTCTTTCTATTTGGAATGACTACACCACAGTGTACCAAGGAGATAAAATATCTTACCATCCACATATTGACAGCGGCACGTATAGTGTACGCTCAGAATTGGAAATCCGAGATAATACCAACAGAAGAAAAAATAATAACAAAAATAAATGAATGCGCAGAGATGGATAAGCTCACAAAAGAGCTCCAAGATAAAGAGAACACTGACTTTTATTTAGTTTGGCAAAAATGGTACACATGGTTAGAAAGAAGGATAGGGCCAACAACATAGGACATTAGGAGAACATAACTCAAGAATTGTAGAAATAGATACATGAGATGAGCCGTAGGATTGTATAAATAAATGGTTAATATGTTTGTAGAAAGATACTGCTGAACTTCAATGAATATATCAAGGTATAAGCAAGTGAATTTGTAAATAGTATGATTAAGGAAAATTGGTTAAATGGACATTAATCACCGATGCGAAGGTTTTCTAGAAGTTAGTCGATTGACTCTTTGTTAATGTATAAGTGTTTACATGTATTTGTGTTTTATGTTTGTTTATGTTAATAAAACTTAAAAAAAAAAAAACAGTCTTTCCCAAGGCTAGGTGATCTGAGATCATGTCTACATTTCACCCTGATCTATACAAACATCAATGTATGTATCACTTTATGAGGCTTAGGGATCAAGACAAAGTTACATGTATCAGTCTACCATTCTGTCAAAACCTTAAAACAGCAAAGAAAACCTCTAGGATTTAAGATTACAGTCCTTCCAGCCTTAACTGGTGGCATTTTAGTTTTTCTAAAAAAAGTTTTTCTCCATACTATCTTTGACTTGAGCTAATCAGTTTTCCCAAGAACCCATTCAACTAAGGGCAATAAGCAGTTAAGAACAATGGCAGCTTATAGTTAGATACTTTCTACTATGACTGAAAGTGGTTCTACAGGATTTCCCCCCCCCCAAAAAAAAACCTTTCCTGGTTATAGCTGGAGATACAATAAATTGAATCTGTAAGTTGTTTGTACAGAATTCAGGGGAAGAATAAACCATAAGATTCTCAGAATTTGAGATGTAATATTCTCTAATAAGTACAATTTCTACAATATGTGCTTCTATCCTAGAAGAAGAAATATATCATGACAGTCAAGATGATCCAAAGGTTAGAGTTATATTATATTAAACAAATTTTAATGCTATCATTTCAAATATTAGCTTTTTTGAAAACATATGATTAATATTTGAATAGAGAATATGTCTATATATTTCTTTTCATATACAAATAAAATATATGAAATCAACTTACAGAGAAAGGAAAGTAATGTTTACTGAAATAGGTCCCAGATTTGGAATAGCTTCCAATTCATTGTTGTTCAGTTTTCTGTTTTAAAAAAAATAATGAAAGCTTAGCCAAGATAGACATAAATGGTAACTGGTATCTTCTGATTTTCCCTTCCTATTTTATCTCTAACAACTTAGCAGTTTTCACCTCCCACCCTCATAATGGCACAAATTCCCAAAGAAACAAAAAGTCTTTTAATGATGCTGACTTCTACAAATGCCTACTGAATTGTTGTAAGTTCTTTGAACATTTGCACTCATCATTTATATATGGAATAATAAACCAGATAATTCTTTTGGAGATTATCCTTTATGTGGTACATGTGGTTCATTTACTCCTCAGTGCTAGGGAAACTACACACACATGGAAACTGCTTTACTGTTTCTTTTTTACTCTTAGTAGTTGGTTTCTGCATATAGATAGAAAATCCATGGCTAGTTGATTGCTTGTGGTTGTATAATACCTTCTGTGGCTTGCCATATACTGTAACTGTTACTACCCATGCTTTCCATTTGCTGAGAGCTCAGCTATCAAACAAGAGGAGCTTTCACTTAGGAGTATGGGCAAGGAGTGTAGGCTATTGAAATACAGCAATGTGCCATGTGTCTAAATAGGTAAATATATGATCATGATTAGGCAGAAAACATTACAAAGAAATCAAGAAATGCAAAGCGAAAGCCAACTGTTTTATATATCAGCTTTCTTTGGAATCACAACTTATCACTGAATGCAAATCAAAACATTCTAGGTTTTATATGCACATGTCATTATGATTTTAGAAATTTAAAATAAAGCAATGGAAAAGAAGACATCTTATAACACAGATAGCCATAAGAATCTGGAGGCAGAACAACTACTTACATTTCTCGCAGATTATAAAGATGACTCAAAGAACTAGAGTTGATTGAAGACAAACTATTATGGCTTAGATCACTGTAAAGTTAAAAAAAATGCATGAATACAAAATGAGAGAGATTTAAAAATAATCTAAATACATTTTGATTCGTATATATCTCCTCCCATTTTCCCTTAGCAGTTCATATGATAGCCTTTCATATATTTTTATATGATGTCTATCAAGTGCATACAACTCAAAAGCTATTTTCATAGGAGCTTAAAACAATAAAATAAAAAACTAAGACCAGCATGGCAATAATTGTCCTGTGTAGCATATAAATCAAACTTTTTTTCTATCTTGGCAGCATAGGAAACCAAAGGCACATCTGGCAAATAAAGCTTTCTATTTATAATTTTCACCTGATATGTCTAAATTTGTGGTATATGGATGTATTGATGTTGGGTGGCATGGAAACTTCTTCCATTCATATGTCTCTGCATCATTAATTCTCACATATAAAATGGTTAACATATGCAATGCCAAGAATGAAAAAAACCCTGAATAAATACTTCAGCTTCAAGGCATAACTCATTTCAAATTCAGTAAAGAATAAAACTGTTCAATATGTCAAAGAAATCTATTTCCTGCAAGATCATATGTTTATTTCTGGGATGCATGTTCTTGATGGGCATGTATCTGTACCTTCTGGAAGAAATGAAAAAATGCACGAAAATGATATATCAATATTGTGTAAGTGGTCTAAAAAAAGCTCACAATAAAGACCACCCTGATCTATACTAATATTTATTTAGTATCATTTATACTAATATTTATTAATACTAATGTAGTAATATTTGACAAGAGATCAAATAATTTATAAGATTATAAACCCAATCTTATAAAATTATGATTATTAAAATACATTAACCTTTATTCTGCATAAGCAAAGAATATGAGATGAATAATTATTTCAACGCAGGGTTGCAGGTTTCTATTGACTTAAGTCACAGCTAAATGCATACATCCTTTTTTTATTTTATGGAAGGCACCAAAGTAGAAACTATGAGTTCTAGTCCCATCTTAGTTACAAAGTCTATTGTGTGATTTTGGGCCCATCACTCATTCTCAGCCCTAAGAAGAAAACAATGGCAAACTACTTCTGAAATATTGCTGAGGAAACTTTAGGAACTCATCTAGGAAGTCAACATTGACTGGAAGGCCCCGACACTAAATAAAGGTAGGAAGGAGTCAACATCATGAAATAATATAGAAGACATACTTTCTTTCGGACCTGCCAGATAATAATAGAAGTGACTGGAATTGCTTTGGTAAAGTTATAACTCTGGGAATGTAGTGGGGAAGGAACCTGACACAGATTTTACATTATAGAAATCCTACTGTTGCAACTACTGCTGTCAATTATTACTAAACTGGACTCAGAGAATTTTCACTAAAGAGCTCAAGCTTACTCTCCATCTGGACTCTATCAAGGAAGTTATACGTATGTATGTAAACATATTTGTTATATGTAAACATATTTGAATTATGTTTCAGACTATTTTCAGGCACTGCAGGTATCAGCAGATTTTTTTGTGATATGTTCTTTCCCTCTTCTCTGTCCAGATTTTATAGTGTGTCTTCGCTGCTCAGCAGCCAAAATCAAATACTACATACTAATACTTATAAATACTAATACTTAAACAAGAAATTTAATAGGCCTTCCATTTAAATCAATTTTTAGCTTGTAGAAGCATACAAAAAGGAAAACATTCATTTGAAGAAAGACATTCCTACAAAACAAGAACTGAAATACTGTTCTTTCTGAAGTCAATTTTGAAGAAGCTTCGTGACAAAATAGGTTTTAAAATGCATCTCTTTTTGGCATCTCAACAATTTTTGACAGAAATCCTTAAACTGGTATGAAATAATATGAATCAATCTTTCCTGGTAATTTAGCAGTAAGCACCAGGATCACTGAAGTTCTGGAGCACACATTTCCCACTCCTCTGGCCTCCCCCTTCTTTAAAACCATAGTTTTAAAGTAAAATTTCTTCAGTGGTTTCAGTTCTCTAGTAGCACTGGAAATTTTAAATGACTAAGAATGGCTAGATTAAAAATGCACATTTCACTTTTAAAAAGAAAGGCCTATTAAGATGCCATCAGTTGGGGGCTTCCGGTTTGGCTTCCGTCGTCGCTAGACGATCTTTTGGGACCGCCACCCCCACCGCCCGTAAAGAGCCGCCCCTACAGCTGGGAGGCAGCTCGAAAAACTCCGTTTCCTTAAGGAAATGTGAGGTGAGCCGGCGAGAGCAGGTAGAGCCCTCTGCAAAGTCCCCAGAGTTTTTTTTTTTTTACTCTTGGGGAGGAAGCAGGATGAGGCTCCCTATCCAGCTCGCCGCTGCTCCGGGCTGCGGGAGAACTCTGCGCTTTGCAGAGCTAGACGATGTGACCAACCTAATCAGCGAAAACTAACAGATTGATTGAATAAGCAGGATGAAATCCGGATTTGGGACTCTAAATCGCAAGTATTTGTAACAACCCTATGATTGATTTTAAGAATGAAGAAAGAGTGAAAAGGGGGAAAAAAGTTTAAAATGGCGGCTGGCTGAGGCTTGAGAAGAAAGCTGAAAGCGAAAGTCTTTCTGTTTGAATGGCTTAATATGTTACAAAGTATCTAGCAATAGCGCTGGCTACAAGAGAAGGGAAAAAAATCTGTTTTATGCTTCTTCCTTTCTTAGAGACTTGATATTGATATTGTGTGGAGAGAAGACTTTTGCTTTAAAAAGAGTCTGTTTGTGTGGCAGGATGGCGTTAAAACTGACAAAGCCGGACAACCAAGCTGGGGGGGGGGGCTCCCCCATTTATAAATCACAAGAGCAATTTTTGAGCTCGCAGATGCAGAAAGATTTAAAGGAATTTGTTGTGGAGGAGATGGCAAGACATGATGAGATTATGAACCAGAATCTTGAAAAATTTAGACAGGAAATTAAAGAGTTGGTTCAACAAAAGTATGATAACCTGAAGCGATATATTGTAACAGCTTTGAAAAGTTTCTCAGAAATAATTCTAAAGATGGATAAAGATATCAATTTAGAAATAGAGTCTAAAATGAAGGAAGCTGATCACAAGATTCATAATCTGGATAATAAAATACAAAGAATTGAAAATGATTTGACAATGATTCAAGAAAATAGCTCAGAAGTAGAGTCTAAAATGAAGGAAGCTGATCACAAGACTTACAATGCAGATAATATAAAGCAAAGGATTGAAAATGAAGTTACAATATGCAATTTAGATCCATGGAATTTGCGATCAGAATGAGAGGAATACAGGAAAACAACAGTGAGGACTTGAGAAAGATGTCTGCTGAAGTTCTGGCTGTGATTTTAAAGGTCAGCTCTGAAGAAGTATTCTGTAAGATTGATAAGGCCTACAGAGTGAATTCTTGGGTGGCAAATCAAAGACAATTGCCTAGAGATGTGGTGATTTATTTTATTGATAAAGGAATAAGAAATGATATTGTGCAAAAGTCTTTCAACTCCACGCTAGAAATGAATGGAATGAAGATTTGGATATATAAAGAGCTGCCGTCCAAGATGTTAAAAGATAGAAAGGACTTTGGATTTTTGGTGACTGAGCTAAAGAAACAAAACATCCCATTTAGGTGGGATGCTCCAGTTGGTATAATATTGAGATATCAAGGAGAAAGATATCAATTAAACACTGTTGAAAAAGCGGAAGAATTTTACTACAAGGTTTTTAAAATGGGCCCAACATCTCCACGTATGTCATCAGTGTCAGGAATACAGGAGGGGAATAAAGATAATCAAAATGAACAAAAGATTGAAACTCAGGCCAAGCAGATGGAGATGGAGGTAATGGAAAAACGACAAGTTATAGAGGGCTTTTTGGATGAGCCGCTTTTGGATTCTCCTTCAGAGGCTATAGCTGGATTACCTATAAATAGAGAGGCGGCTTTGGATCTCGATTTGATGTCTTATCAAGTTAAAGACCAGCATGTAATTCAATCAGCTGACATACAAGTCCTAGAAAGGCAACCAGGGTGGAGACCTAAACCACAACAAGTTAAGAAAAGAAGAAACAGGTTCTACAAAACTAAAAAATTTTAAACTACAATTATTATTTTTTTAGCCAACAGACTAATGCCAGTTATTTAAGAAACGATTAAATAAAATAAGCGGGATTTATAGAAGGCTGATATATGAAAATACAGTTGAGGCAAATTACAGACTTATACTATTTTGAGAAGAATAACAGATCTCTGCAGTGCTGGTGTTTTTAGGATGTGGAAGATGGCCTGTGATTGAGCGGATTGGAACTTTCTATTTTGGACTCTCTGAAAAATGGATTACGTATATGTTGAGCTATAAGGCAAAAGAACTATGGAATTGGGGCATGCAGATGATCTGGCTGTTACCCTAACGTGATTGTCGGAATTAATAATCTAGACAAAAGACATCACAGAAGATATCATATGGGATATAAGTATAAAGTCACTCGGGGTTTTTTTTATATATACAGAAATACTTATTAATGATGGGGGCAGATGGTAATTGAAGATACTGAAAATACTGTTGGAAGCAGGACTTGATGTTACCCTAACATGGTCGATGGAATTAACAATCTAGTTGAAAGACATTACAGAAGATACTATATGGAATACAAATTTAAAGTCATATGAGGGTTTTACTTATATATGGAAATATCTTTTAGTGATATGGGCAGAAGAATAAAGATATTAAATATATTATGTATGGTAGACCTGTAGGAAAGTAGGTGAAATAAAATTGATATGGTATAAGGTGATAGGTAACGTTACTGACTGCTTAGTTTAGGAAAAGGGATGTTATGTTTAGATATTAATATACTTAAAAGATTTGAATTAAGAGATATATGTATGGGGGTGGAGGAAATGGGTAGATTGTGAGCAGAATAAATGCCAAATTAGGATCTATTATATAGTTTTATAGCCGAATGCTGTTTTGAAATGTATAGTATACGGGGGACATAATAATAATGTTAGAAAGAAATGCTAAGCACATAGGGGGTGGTGTAAAAGGGTGGTAAAGTATTA